ATGGCTGAGTTCTCAGAAGCAGAGCTTCAGACTTTCTGAGGTATCTCTAGGTGGATGCAATCAGCCAACCTTTAGTTAGCAACTGACTACAACACCAAGGCCGCCATCCATGAATTAAATTCCGACTCATAGAGAGTCCGCAGGACAGAGAAGAACTACCCCAGAGCATCCCCGAAGCTGGGAATCTTTACAGAGGCAGATAGCTTCACCTTCCTCATGTGGAGCATCTGTTGGTTTGAACTGCCGACCCTGTGGTTAGCAGTCTAATGCTTAACCCACTGTACCACCAGGGATCCTTATCCATTAATTAGAGATGCATTAGCCACGTCATCCTCAAAAAGAGAGATTAAATGTCAAAGTCAGCCTGGCTCGGGGCCCTCAGCTGGGGCATTCTGTCCCCAGAAGACACTAGGTAATGTCTGGGGACATTCTGGGGTGTCACGACTTTGGTGGGGTGCAACTGGCATATGAAGAATGCAGACCAGGGATGCTGCTCAATGATCCGACAGTGCCCAGATGGCCCAACCCCACAGAAGGATCTAGAACACAATGTCAGCAGTGCTGAGGGGGAGGGTACTGATTAGACCAAATAGTCGGTGTCGTCAGGGGCCAGGAATGCTGTACAGTGGTCCCCTGTAGGTTTCCATTTCGCCACAAAGACAGCACCAAGAAAGGAGCCCCCTAGTCCCAGTGGGGAGCTGATGTCCTGTGAGGGCACAGCGGTGACAACTGAGGGTTGGTTCATGGAGATGCTGCAGGACCAGGTAACAGAGCATCCAGCTGGCACGGGGTCAGAACTCATGCCAGCTCAATGGCAGCCAACAACAGAGGTCTGGGAAGCAGAGCCTAGTAAGTATGGTACAAGGAAGCCAGGCCCAAAGCCAATAAGGGGCCAGCTGAGGGAGGAGTCAAGCTCAGCAAGAAAGAAGGACCCCGCGGCAGGACGAGGAGAAGCACCGGCGGCCTCAGTCTGAGAGAACACCCTGACACAAGTCAACAGCCCCTGCAGCTTGGCTGAGTTACAGAGACAACAAACTGGCTACCTGAGTCCATCATCTAAAAGGCTGACGGGTGAAGTCCAACGACCACAAGAACCTGGTGGCTAATGGTGACTTGTTGGCTCAAGTCCAGGCAGAGGCTACCTGACGCTTGGATGCCCGCCTTGAACCCCTGGCTTGCTCGGAGCACTGCACGCCGCTTGTTCAATAATTTCACGCTACACCGCCTAACAACGTATGCGTGGAGGCCCAATCTCGGGCTGCACTTCCCAAATGTCACTTGTTTGTGAACACATGGCTGAGCCCCAAATTGCTTTTAATATCTGGGTAGTCCTGCCGGCCCAGGAGCACCGGCTCTGACAGCACCCTCAGGGCAAGCCATGGCCCTGGCTCATGTCTCAATCCACAGCTCAGGACTTGGACCGGGGCCCAGTGCCAGGGGCCGCTGCTGCCGAGTTTACACACTCCTTCTGCGGCCCTGCAGCCATGCAAACAAGCAAATAGGCGAAAAACACACGTCTTCCTAAGACCAAAGCCCACAAACTTTAATTACGCATTTAGGGGGTGCCAACAGTTCAGCTCTTCGCTGCTCACCCAAAGGTTGGTGGTTTGAGTCCACCCAGAGACTCCTCAAAAGAAAGGCCAGCCATCTACTTCTGGAAAATCGGTTCTTGACCACCTTGTTAGGGGTCAAATTGTGTGTCCCTCAAAGATCTGTAATTCCCACCTCCTATACGTGCAAAGCCGTGTGAACTGCAAGGTCGGTGGTTCAAGCTCATCAGTTGCTCCTCGGAAGCCCTATACAGGGTTGCTATGGGTCAGAACTGACTTGACGGCACTTCGTAACAACCACATACACGTAAGAAAGAACCCTGATGATGTAGTGGGTTAAGCACTGAGCTGTTAACAGAAAGGTTAGAGGTTGGACCTCTCCAAAACAGAAGGATGAGGCTGCCTGCGCCCATGAAGATTTATTTATAGCCTGGCAAACTCTAGCTTCATCCTGTCCTATAGGGTCACTGTTGTTGTTAAGTGCCGTCGAGTCGGTTCCGACCCATAGCGACCCTTGTACAGGGTTTCCGAGGGTGTAAATCTTTACGGGAGTAGAAAGCCTCATCTTTCTCCCGCGGAGCGGCTGGTAGTTTCGAACCGCTGACCTTAAGGTTCGCAGCCCGATTCGTAACCACTACGCTACCAGAGTTCCTTTAGGGTCACTGTTGTTGTTGTTGTTGTTAAGTGCCGTCGAGTCGGTTCCGACCCATAGCGACCCTGTACAGGGTTTCCGAGGGTGTAAATCTTTACGGGAGTAGAAAGCCTCATCTTTCTCCCGCGGAGCAGCTGGTAGTTTCGAACTAGGAGTGGCCATTAACTCCACAGCAGTGGGTTATATATGGGGGTATAAATTGCACTAGATCACAAGGTCAGTTTGAATCACAATGCTGATGGTTCAAACTCACCAGCTGCTCCTCAGAAACCCTATACCAGGGGGCTATTAATTCCCGGAACCCACAGGGTTGAGTTACAGACAAGCTCACTGGAGAACAGGGCTTTCTTTGTTATGTTGATGAGTCCATATCCATGGAGGGCAGGTCTTAAACCAATCACTTCTGGGCTCTAAAGGAGCCTCTGAGGCACGGAGGCATGTTGTGGTTGCTAAGTGTCGGTTTGGACTCATACAGAAACCTGTATAGGGTTTCTGAGGAGCAGCTGGTGAGCTTGAACCACTGACCTTGCAGTTCAAAGTGACTTTGCAGTCCAGCGCACAGGTGGGGGGAAAGAGAGGCCACGCACAGATCACCCGGGAAACGGCACAGAAGCCGCAGAGGCAAGGACCTTCCTCCAGAGCCCACAGAGAGCCCCCTCCCCTAGAGCTGGCACCCGGATTCAGAGGGTTCTGGTGTGGCACCCTCAGTCCAGACCCCACAGCCGCTTCTCGGAAAGCCAACACAGAGGCACTAGGAGTCAGAACTGACTCCATGACACTTAACAACAGCGTTCTACAGTGTGAGACAAGACATTTCTGTTTTGGGAAACCCACCCACTTGGGGTCTTTCTGTCAGAGCGGCGTTAGGAAACGCAGACAGCCCCTGGAGCACAGTTCTACTCAGACACTCATGCTGTTTACCTGCTTTCAAAAGGGAAGTGCCTGAGTTTCCCTCTTTTCTTTGGGCAAACCCAGGCACCTTAAGATTAAGATGTTTAAGCTCCACCACTGTCTTCCGAGTTCAGTGGAAAAGTCTTACGCTTCTGAATTCCCATAACATCTTGCACGCCGTCCTTGTCCTTGCTGCAGAGCCTACTTCCTTTTTAACCCCTGAGGAAATGGGACTGGGAGAAGACAAAGGTCGACAGTTTGTCTAGAGAGGTGCTGTGCGCACAGCGGGGGACTACAGTAGGTTGCTTCTGTCAGCAACACGTTACAGGGCCATGTTCCAAACAGCCGGTGGGTTGTTTTAGGAATAAAGCTCACCAGTTGCTCCTTGGAAACTCTACACAAGGGTCGCTATGGGTTGGAATCGACTCGATGGCACTTCACAATGACGACAACCCAGCCCATGAGAAAGTACAGGAGCCCTAGTGGCACAATGGTTCAGTGCTGGCCTGAAGGGTGGAACCCACCAGCTGCTCTGAGGGACTCTGCTCCTCTAATAACTGTTGTTATTGTTACGTGCCGTCTCGTTGGTTCTGATTCACAACCCTGTATAGGGCTTCTAAGGTTTTCAATCTTCCTGGGAGCAGAATGGCTCATTTTTCTCCCATGGTGCAGCTGGTGGGCTTAAACCATGGACCCTGTAGTTTGCTTATCACATGGCGTGACCGCAGCCCCTGTACCGACTATAACCTAGAACCCTCGAGTGCAGTTCTACTGTGTCTGCCGGGGAGCTCTGAATTGGAATGGACTCGACAGCACCTAACTACACTACATTAGAAAGTAACAGTTCACGTGACAGCCCTGAGCACTGGTGTGTTAACCACAAGGTCAGTGGAGTGGTTGGTTTTTCAAAAGCAGATCACCAAGTCTTTCTTCTGAGGCTCCTCTGCATGGACTTGAACTTCCAACCTTTACAGTGAGCAGCCAAGCATGCTGATCATCTGAGCCACCCAGGGCCTCCCTTTCTGGTTTCTTCAGGCACATTTCAAGGACGTGGCAACTGCATACACCCAATGAGCCCTGACCCTCTCTGTACAGGTCTGAAGTCTGCGGAAAGCTGAGTGATTAGGATATGGGTCCTGTGCATCTCCTGCCATTCCCTGCCCCTGACCAGGAGGCTGGGCAGGAAGCACTGGGAGCCACAAGGTCCAGCAGCAGAACCAGCTGGCTGAGTGAGCAAGTGGACCACCATGCAGAGAAGAGCAGCAGGTGGGAGGTGGCCAGGACAAGCACTAATGCGGGGCTGTGACCATCGAGGGGGAAGGTATGGGCTCAGAACTCGTCACCCCGTGCACATCCCTTTTGCCTGAGCCTCCAAGACACCCAAGGTGGAGGCTGACGCACTCAGTGGGTTGCAACATGTGGCCTCACACACCTTCCAAACTGTGGCCAAACTTCACATGGAAAGACCACGGACAGTGCTAAAAGGGTGTGGGGACAAGGCCCCGTGGGTCTCTTCTCACCTTGCCCAGCTCGGACACAGTTGGGGGGCCTGCCTGCTAGGGAAAAGCTGAGACCAGGCAGTGGAAGCAAAAGGGGCAGAGCATCACAGCAGGGGGCAGAGTCTCCACACATCTGGGGGCATCCGGCAGCAGGCTGTCCGCTACACAGGGCCAACTACCATCCTCTGGACCCACAGTCGGAACTGTGTCCATGGGGTCAGGACGAAGGTGTGGCCGAGTCCCACCTCCGAGACAGATGCAACTGGGCCAACCCAGAGGGCCGCTGGGGAGCAGGACATGCGCTGGGGAGCGGGACATGCCAATTATTCAGTGACAAGGACTCAGAGGATTCCAGAAACAGGCTGAGAATCAACTGCAGAGGCACAGACTAAGTTGGCAGGCACTTACCTGGGTGGCTACTTTGCCATAGTCAATCCACCGCAAGGTGGCGAAATTGGTGGACTCGGCACAGTTGAATCCATGGTTGAATCCCGCGTGGTAGCCGTAGGGAAAAGTGATCATGAATTCCCCAGCTTCCTGTGTGATCTGGAGAGAGAGGTCAGTGGGTCAGGGGTGAGGCCCACAATGGGAACAGACCACATTGAGGTGTGGCACTGAGCAGGGGGCAGGAACAACGAGGGGCTTGGGCTCTAGGGCCTTGAAGGGCTCCAGGTGCTCCAGACATAAAGGCCGGTTTCCCAGCATCCATGTGCGGCGCTGTAGGATAAGCACACGATCGCAAGGTTGGTTTGAACCAAAAGGTCAACAGTTTTCAAACTCACCAGTCACTCCTTGGAAACCCTATGCTGGGTTGCTATGGGTTGGAACTGACTCGACGGCACTCAACAACATGAACATTTGTTACACGTCTTTCTGATGTTCTTGTGGCCACTGCATCAGCTCCAAATCATGGTGACCTATGCCATCTTCATGACGGTGGATTGTGAGAGTCCACTGTCGCAGCCCTGTGTCAGTCCATCACAGGCTGTCCCTCCTTCTCCATGCCCCTCCACTTCACCAATTTTGATGGCCTTTCCTGATCACATGCCCAAAGGAAGCGAGCCAAAGTCTCAAGACTCAGAGCTGCTCTACTTGCGCTCAATCAGATTTACTCGTTCTGCGGGCAGTCCACTGTGTAGTCAATATTCCTCACCGATACCGTAATTCAAATGTAGCAATTCTTCTGCCTTCCTTTTGCATCGTCCAGCTTTTGTGTGTGCATGAGTCGACTGAAAAGACAGACAGACCATGGCTTGGGTCTGATGCACCTTAGTCATCAAAGTGACATTGCTTACAGATGAGGAACTTGTATGTTCGTCACTATCAGGTCTTAGACAGTAGACGGCTTACTCGATTAGAAAACAAGGTTGTGTTACCTGCACAGCACAGGTTGTTAATGAGTCTCCCTGCAATCCTGAGGCTGTGTTCTTCTTCATATAGTCCAGCTTCCTGGATGATTCAGCACACAGACTGAACCTGTGAAGTGGAGGGAAACAATCCTGCCACACCCCTTGTCCCATTGAGTCTTTTTGTAGATGGACGTCTTCATTTCTTGAGTCAATGCCTAGACATGCCACTGCTGCATCACGGTATTGTCGTGGAGTTGGCACCGGCTCATAGAACAAAACACTGCCCAGTCCCCGCGGCTGCCTCACAGCTGTCGTTACGTTTGGCCCATTGCTGCACTACAGGTTAAGAAACTGCAGTGGCTACCTTACCTGCCCCCAGTGAGAGTTCCCATTGCTCTACTTCCTCACCGGCACTTGCTGGTGACATTTAGCCATTCTTGTGGGTGGGCAGTGGTGTCTCCTTGGGGCTCTATTGTGTTCCCCTGGCATCTCGGACACCACAGCTAATCTGTGGGTACCTGTGTCTATTTCCTGTGGTCAGGTGTATGCTCCAGGCGCTGTATCAGTGTTTGTTGGGTTGTTCATCTTTCTATGGTTGATTTGTAGGTGCTCTTGGACCTATTCACCTTGATTCATTCTCCCAGAGAATGTAGAAATCGCTGAATTCATGTAAGTAACCCAAAAAAGTCAACACCCTGGGGGGGGGGGGCAGGAGCTGGGGAATGAGACTTCAAGATGCAGCTGCGGAGTCAAAAATCCATCCATACTGACGGTGCCTGGAGAAGAGCCAGTCCTCAGAACACCGAGATCTGTCTTTCCAAATAATTAATTGCACCAATCAAGGGGAGTCAGTGTGCATTAAGTTATGTTTTCAATTCGTTTCCCAGTGACACCTGCATGTGGTGGAACGAAGCTCACTGCAGTGGGCGGGGGTGGGGAGGGAGCACATGGGTCTGAAAAGCCCCCAGCATGGCCTCCAAGACCAGAGGCATGGTGTCCTCACCAACAACCCTTATGCTGGGATCTGCCCATGGGACTTCCGGCTCCATGAAATACAAAGACGGTTTGGGGATTTAAAGCAAACCCACATACCCCACGACTGACTTTCTGAATAGTCCTGGAAAGCCCCACTTAGTGCATTTTCTAGCACCAAGTTTGCGGCTCCATCTGGGGTCAGGGGTCGGAGACCTAGGCCTGGAAGCAAAGGCAGACGGCGCCATCGCAGACATAAGGCTTGTGGTCAGGTCTGTGGGTGGCGCCTGGGAGCCTGCTAGGAAGACTGAGCAGGATCCTAGTGATGCCAAGTTACAGACTCTGGAGAAGAGGAGCTGACTGGTCTATCCAGACGCCAGATCCAGGCAGACTTGGGGCTCAGTGCACCCCACGAGGTCCCATCGGTAAATCAAGGCTGGCTGTGCTCAGTTAGAACGACAGGAAGATTATGTTCCTGTCAGGAAATCTACATCCTGGTGTCTTCATCGCCAGCCCGCAGTGTCTGTCCTCCATGTCACTGTTGCCAACATTATCCTGACGATAAATGAGAAAGTGCTGGAAATGATGGATGGGCCGAGAAGCTGGGTAATCAGTACAGAGGGTACGCCAGCCCCACATGCCTGTCATGGAGGGGCCCACAATGCCGCTTCTTCAGGAAGCTCTTGCCGAACAAATGGGGAAGTCAATTGCAGATTACAGAAATACACACTTTTAATTATTAAAAAGCTTGGCTATCGATCTGCTTTTTCTTTGAGAAGTAAATACCATTACAGAGATTTATAAGTGGAGTGTGGATAGTCACTCGCTTGAAGAATGCCAGAATTCAGATGAGGGAGCCACAGGGCACTCCAGAGGGGGCGTTCATCTTGAGCCCAAGAGCGGTGATGGGGCCAGAGTGCATCCGAGGTGGGCAGCTGAGGCCAGCAGGCCTCCCAAGCAAGCACTAGGGCCTGGTCATGTAAGGCCCATGTCCCGCTCCTGGGCTGCGAGGAATGACCCACCATTAGTTAGCTACATTTAAGTACTTCATGGATGACCTGCTAGTTGCCACTGACATAAGAGGAAGTGGGGGTAGAGAGCACCTACAGGTGCAATCTACAGGTATCCCCATCTATAAAGTAGCCTTCTAGAAAATTCTCAGTAAACTGCTCAGAAATTAAGTGTGTCCCCTTCGGGAAACAACACTGCCAACTCCCATGGTAAGGATGGTGCGAAGGAGCACTGTACAGACGGCCAGCAGGAGGACTGAAGGGCAGCGGGGACCTGCCTGGAGCGGCCCTGGTCTCAGACAGACAGACAATGCATCCTGCTGCTTTCCCGATGCTGCAGGCAGTGTGACTATTTCCGACAGGCTGACCCACTTCTGAGAGTGAGAAGTGGAGGATGTGATCACAGCACTCATCCCACACCTGACCAATGGTTCTTCGGGAAACCTTCCACACCTGCTCCCGAGGGCTCTCCTACCCACCTGGGCCCCGGGCAGGTGTCCTCCGAGTGGATGAACATCCCAAGCCTGCCCAAGCCCTCTGGGTAAGCCATCTCAGCACCAGAGCTATCCCGTGGGTCAGAGACAAAAGCCGAGGCGTCTGCAAACCCGCCTTCATCCATCACAGCCTTTGGCGAGGACAAGTCAGGGAGCCTTTGGAGCAGGAAATTGAATGAGTTCATAGTCTTCACGCTGCAGGGGAGCCGGTATTTCATTTCTAAGCAGGTGCAGAGGGGGCGAGGTCTCGGGAGCGAGAGGCCCAGGGCACCCAGTTTCACATGGGAAGGGCTGAGGAGCCTCTGTCCTGTTGTTCCATGGCTTCTGGGGGTGGGGTGGGGGTGGGGAGAGTTCCAATGAGGGACCGGTGCACTGCCTGAAAGGGACATCTGTCCAGAGTCTGGAGTGAGCTGGAGGACGGCCACTCAGGGAGGCTCTGTCAGCCGAGGCAGCCTGCCTGCCCCTGCCCAGCCACCACAGGGTCCAGCTCTGAGGGTGAGGATGGCTGCCCAGCTGCCAGGGCAATCTCTCTGAGTCTATCCACCCCTCCCATCCATACCAAACCCACTATCCCCATGCAGGACTATGGAAGGTGAGGTGGGGGATTGAGGGAGAAGAAAAACCCAAGACTCCACCCACTTGTAACTCCCGTTTATAACACAGTCTCCGCACCCCACCCCACCCCCGCCACCAGAGAAGAGTGGCCTTCCCTTGCTTGCCATTATTCTAGAATCTTCTCTGTCTGGGCCGTTCTTGGCAGCCAGGGTCCCAGCCCCAGAACCTCCCTTCAAAGGCAGGGCTGTGAGCAGAGCTGTACGTACCCGGCTGAAGGGGATGCCGTACTTTTTGAGGATGATGGGAGAGATGAGGGTCATTTTGTGGCGCAGGAAGGCATCACAGCCCTGGGAGCTCCCAGGGAAGAAGCCTAGGACAGAAAGAGGAATGTCAGTATGAGCCAGCACAGCAGGGAACAGGAGGGTCAGCATGGACAGGCACAGTGGGCTGCATCCCAGAGGAGGCTGGTCATCACAGATCCTCCTGCCCAGGGAGAGGGAGCAGCATACTGCGGCATGGAGCACAGCCAGGGTCCTGTGTGTCCAGAGCCCCAAGAAAGAGAAGTACACAGTCTGGCTCCTTGGCCCCTCACACTAGCTGGGTGGTCCCTGAGCCCCTGATGGAGCAAAGGTGATGCCCTTCAAGAGACGTGAAGTTTAGGGCCGTAAAACTGCCAGAACAGAAAGGCTGGGAATGTGGACCCCATGGGAAGGATGTGACCAACGCCACAGATCAGTATATCTAGAAATGGTGAGGAGAGCTTTGCTGTGTACGTTTTCACCAAACATGAAATATTTAAAGAGAAGACACCCTGCAGTCCTTCAAGGACAAAGGAGAGGTGGTGGCCTTCTTCTTGTGTGACAAGGGTGTGTCCCTGGTGCACAGTTCACGTGCAGGGCAGGGTCAGGAGCAGTAAGGAGGAAGACAAAGCCTTGCAGCATTGACACCCTCTCCACAGCCCCAGAGCCAGCACATGAGCAAAGCCCTGGGGAGTGACCCCAGGGGTATTGTGTTGCCTCGAGGTACTTTAGAAGCAGACGAGGGGTGCCATTACTCTCCGCCCCACCCCCACCCCCCGTAGTTCCATTGTTTCCTGGCCACAAGCCCATTTCTTGGGCTTGATAAAGACAAAGGTGGTCAGGGTAGACCAACACCAGGGGTTCTGAGCAGTGGTGGATGGCTAGGTGGCAGTTAAGATCCAGATTGCGTATCCTGAGTCCTGTCTGAGCCCTCAGCATCATCACTAGCCACAGGGCACAAAGGCAGGTGAGGACACAGAGACCTCCTGGTCCCTCTGCCCTGCTCACAGGACACCCGACAGCGTTGGGCCCCTGAGGCTCTTCATCCTAACAGGAGAGACAAGTCAGAACTGTGAGGCCCATCGGCTCCACCTGCTGACAAAAGGGGTGAACTAACTCATTATGTTCCAGGGTTCTTTCCAAGCCATCTTTGCTGACTTGCACATCAAGCCTGCATGGGTTTCTGGTTTTAAGAAAAACAAGTCTTCCCATTTCCTGACAACAGCTGAGTGGGGCCCTCCTGCCTCCTCCCCATCCTTCCCCACAAAGTGGGGTCATCAAGGGAGATGTGCTCAAAGCTGATGCACAGTCCCCTCACCCAGCCTATGTAGGTGCTCCAGAAAGTCAGGTGGAGCTGCCACCCACGGATGTGGGAAGAGCTGGGAGGGGCAGTGTGATCCCATACCACCTCCCACTCTGCGCCCACTCTCCTGTGGGCAGTGGGCAGCTGCACAAGACTGAGGCCACCAGGAGGCAGAAGGGCCTCCCAACATGGAGCATGCTCACAACACAGGGTGCTAGTCTACCTCCATACATGCTTACAATATGGGTGCTGATCTATCCCCAGCTGCGAGCTGCATTCTGCACATGTGGCTCTTTACGGCTTGATGGGCCAGGAGAGAACAGGTGTGGGCCCTGAGTGTCCCCCCTCCCCCTCTCCACTCCTTCCAGGAACCTCTCGGAAGCCCATGGAGTCTGGTCTTGGAGGCTGTGTCCACGTGCATGCAGCACACACCACACACACATTGACACGGGGCGAGTGGGGCCCAGACGCTCGCTCCCCAGGCCACGACAGAAGATTCTGGAAAGTGAGAGGGCTTTACTGGATGCAGCCGCTTTGCTCTGCACTAACAGCATTTCAATTAGAATTACGAGTGCCTGCCACCCGGCCTGCCGGCCTCGCTGCGCTTCTTCTTTTTAATGCACAGTTTAAGTGGCTCTCATTAAAGCCCTAATAAAGGCACACATTTTAAGTGATTAGCACCAATAGCGCGCCAACACATTAATGTGCTCTTGGCGGGCTCCACAACTCTCCCCGCGAGTCCTTTTAGAGCACCGTTATTCATTGTCCATATTAATCACAAACGCATTCTGCCAATCTCTATAGTGGTATTCCTGACGTGGTCCCCCCAAAAAGTTTGAAAAGGACCCTAGGTTGGCAATGATTCACTTGTTCCCCTGGGGACCTAGGTGAGAGGCTGCAGGGAAGGGCGATTCCCAGCCTGCCCGTCCATGCCTCCAGTGGTGGGAGCCCAGTGGAAATCCTGGGAAGTCATTCATGGACCACCGAGGACAGACTTAATGAGTCCCTATTTGTCACAAGTAGTCCCCTGGGCATTGTAAATGGAGAACAGTGAAAGCGCTCAGCTGATAACAGAAAGGTTGGAGGTTTGGGATCACCCTGAGGCATCTTAGAAGAAAGACATGGTGATCTGCTCCTGAAAACTCAGCCCTATGGAGCCCAGTGAGTTCTACACTGACAGAGTCCATGACAACCGCCAAGCTGGACAACAAACACTCAGAGCCTGGGAACAGGGAACTTCCATAGTAAAGGGGACTTTGCAGATGGGATGAGACTGAAGATCTAGAGAGGATCACGGTGGGCGATGGCCCGGGCGGGAAATGAGCCGGGTGGTAGCAAGATTTAGAGGGTGACACAGAGCACAGTGGCAGAGCTGGGAAGGACGCCAAGGGATGCCAGAAGCCTCCAAAAGTGGAAAAGACCCTCCTCTCAGCCTCCCAAAGGAGCCAGCCGTGCTGACATCTAGGCAGACCCTGTAAGTTTCCATGTGGGGCTGTACGGGACAGACCCTGTAAGTTTCTGTGTGGGGCTGTACCGCACAGACCCTGTAAGTTTCCGTGTGAGGCTGTACGGCACAGACCCTGTAAGTTTCCGTGTGGGGCTGTATGACACAGACCCTGTAAGTTTCCGTGTAGGGCTGTATGGGACTACACCGTGCTTATGGATGGTTAATCCCACAACAGGAAACTGACACCATGGGGAGGAGTTTCTTTCCAATAAGTGGGACTATGGAGTTCTGAGTATGAGAAGGCTGTCTAGGGTCTGCTCCCTTCCACACAAACACGGTCCAGGTTTCCGACAAAAAGTGATTAAAAAATAGCACCAACAAAGCCTTCACCAAGAACCCTGCCTCTCTCGCCACCGAACGGTGCTCCTTTTCTTGCTGCGCCCACTATTTCTCACGCCTGCTAAGTATCTGCAGGACAAACCGTGCCTCTGGGCACAGCAATTGGGCAGGAGAGCCTGCTCCTTCCAGAACAATGGACTGTTCTCCTGTCCAAAGTTAAAAAGCCCAGGTGAGGCAGAAGGAAAGCGTGTGCACAGAGCTTCCTGTGGGTAGGGATGAGGGCGGGCCCACTGCCGGCACTCAGCAAAGTCTGGGCTGATGCTGAGTGGTGGATTCTGGATGAGTCTGGGCCTCGGGAGCCAAGCTGCCTCCTCAGACTCACCTCCAGCTGCTGCCATGGCTGCCAGGAGGGGCCTGCACATGCTCAGAGGGGCTTTCAGGACCACTGAGCCTGGACTCCCTCTCCCTTCCCGACGTTGGGTCACCATGGCCACCTTGACTGATCCAGCCTCCCTGCATACCCTACCACGTGCCCAGCTGATCTGAGGAGCAGCTCTAGCATGGGAGGGGAGTTGGCGAACGGGTCTATTATTACTCCTGGCCACTCAGAGCATCAGAGCTCCTACTGGGCCACGGAGATGAGGGTCACAGACCAGGAGCTGCTCCTCGATCCTCAGGACTTGGGGCCCACCTACCCAGGCTGAAGGCCTGGCCTGACTAACCCTGGGCCGTCTGCGACCTCTTCTCAGTTGCCTGTCTGACAAGTTCCATGTGGTGGGACTTGAGGGAAGCATGGCCCAACAAAGTCAGAGCCAAGGGTCCCCCTGCAGATCCCCCAAGGCCCTGCAGTGTGCCCTCACAAGATGTCTCATGGAATGAGGAATGAGGAAAGGGCACAGTGTGGAGCCAGGAGGGATGCAGCCCGAGTCAGGGAATCAAATCAAGTGCACTGCAGTGAGGCGCCTATGGGGACTCGGGAAGGGACAACATGGTGGGCCAGGTCACAGGGGTGACCTCTGAGCACATCCCGCACCATCCCAAGTGGAAACGGGGTCTCACCTACCTATGGCCAGTCGCTCCAGGCGCTTGCCGTGTTCTGGCGGGATGGCGTACCTGCAGAGAAAGAAGGGGCAGGTCAGAATGGGGAGGGGTGGCAGGTAGGGAAGTGAGGAGGCATTGGAAGGGGAGAAGGGGAGGACAACAGGAGAAAGGCACCCCAGGAGTTACCAGTGTAGAATCCCCAGGCACATAATACTAACCCTCAATGAGACAAAGCAAGCACAAGGACACTGGCTTTGGAATTGGGGAGCAGGAAGTACACAGAGGCCCCAGGATGGAACAGAGCAGAGAAGCCCCCACCTCAGAGCCCACTCCCACCCTCCACCCCGGCATGAACACCACTAGTTAGTTTTACATTTAATTTACACATTTTACATTTGAACCATGACTAAGGTGCAAGTCAGCAAACGTGAAGCAACCATAGGGACAAGCAAACTCCGAGGCTGTAAGTAGGGACAGGAGCCCCCAGCAGGGAAGTCTGACTATAATCCATCCACCCCAGAGCAGAATGAAGCTCAGTGAAGGCCAGCAGGGCAGGTGCGGAGCCCTCACTGCATACAGCCTGTGGGCCCATGGGGCCTCCATGTACCTCCCACAACCAGGAGAACAAGGGTCCTCACCCAGAGTGATTCTATCCTCTGAGAGTGGAGCAATGTCTGGGGGTATTTGTGGTCGTCACAACTGGCGGCTGGGAGGTGCTACTGGCATCGAGCAGGTGGAGACAAGGAATGCTGCTCAACACCATACAGTGCACAGTACGGCCACAGCCCAGAGAAGGAACGGGCCCCTTGTCAGCAATGCCAAGGGGGAGTTGTTGTTGTTAAGTGCCGTCTAGTTCAATCCGACTCACAGCAACCCTGTATAGGGCTTCCGAGGAGCAGCTGGTGGGTTTGAACTGCCAAACTTGTGGTTCACCAAGGGGAAGAGACACCGTTAATTATTTGAGAAAAAAACTGAGATTGGGCCCTGCTCATCCTTTCCACCATAATAAATTCCCATTGGGTCAGGCAATATCAACTAGGGGGAGCCTCCACTCCTGGGATTTCCCTCTCTACTCAGTGTGTGGATTTTAATATGGGCAGTATCCTAAGACTTCAGGGGGTCAGATGATGATGGGACACGGTCTCTGGGGGATCAGTGTTGTTGTAGGTTAAGTGAGTCGGTTCTGACCCATAGCGACCCTGTATAGGGTTTCCAAGGAGCAGCTGGTGAATTTGAACCACCAACTTTGCGGTTTAAATTCACCTTGTGGTCTAGCGCATTATCCTGCAGGGCCACACCAGGACTCAGGAGTTCTCAGCCAGGGTGATTCTGTCTCCAAGGGACACTGGGCCATGTCTCGGGGTATTTGTGCTCCCTAGGACTAGGGAGACGGGTGCTAGGGCATCAAGTGGGCAGACACCAGGGATGCTACCCAGTATCCCACAGTGCAGAGGATGGCCCCCGGAGAAGGACCTAGTCCCATCCTCCCTCTCCATGGATGCAGCAGCGTAACGAGAGCCACTCTCACATTCTGGAATCAGTCATGTTAGACGAGATAGTATGTAAAGAGCCACTCCCTCCCACCCTCAGCCCAGAGAAAAACACAGATGACAAAAGAACACCCAGATTCAGGGGCTGGCTTAGCCATTCAACTGCAAAGATTAACATGTTTCCTAATAAAAGTAAAAGGAGGCAGTAGGGAGACAGACAGGCAGACATCCTGGGGTCTCTAATCAAACTGGATGAGAACAACTCTTTTCTGGGGAGTTTCCTGCACCCCCCACCCCACTTCCAAGGAGCCTGAAGTCCCTATCCCGTCTGCCATCACAGGAATTTTCCTATACCAGGGCAAAGCCAAGCATCTTTTTCCCTAAAAGGCCTTTTATCGTTGACATAAAGATGGCCAGAACGAATCCCCAGCCCCAGCCCCTTTGTGGGATTAGCGTTCCTCGAACAGGGAAGGTGCTGGAGAATTGGAAGGCACTAATTTATGGCTGCAAGACTGTGATGATTAATGCAATATCCCCAGTCCACAATGCTGCGCTCACTTAATTACCGCCTGTAATTGGGAGTTGTAAAGATAAGATTAATTGAATCTGGTGGATGTTAAAAGTTTAATATGCTGGAGCGCAGTTCCTCTGTTATCAGCGGCGGCAGGCGGCAGGGCGCTGGGCAGAGTGCTCACAAGAGCGGCCCCTGGGGAGATTAGAGGAAGTTTCTGGAAAGGAACTGGACTTGCAGACAGGACCCGATTTGGGGCGGCAGTGTTGGGGGTGAGCACCAGGAGTCATTTCTCTTGCATCTCGGACCCCAGCATAGGACTCCAGTGGCAGGCAGCCTCCCTCGAGGGCCCCAGCTGATTGTAGGGACCCTCATCTATGCTGGAGACTCCGGAACAGCGGGACCCAGGAGGCCCAGAAGCTCAGGTGTGCCAAGGCAGACAACATGGCCGGATGAGGAGGTGACACCCCCTCTGGCGATGCAGCTGTCCGTGCACAGGGAGGCAGGTTTCACAGCCCTGGACCCCCGAGAGGAGCTGGTACATGTCAGTCCTGTCACCACCCCGGTAAGCCTCAAGCCAATGGCCAGGCACCCTGACACTGGGGGTCTCCAGCTGACATGTTCTGGTAACTCTGGGAGGTGGGGAGCATCAGAAAGGAAGGAAAGGAAGAGACAGACAGACAGAAAGCAGACACGCAGGGAGGGAGGAGAGAACAAGAGAGAAAGGCTGACAGAGGGAAAAGGAGCAAAGGAGAAAGAGAGAGAGAGAGACAGGAGGAAAGAAAGGTGGACAGGCGGGCAAGACCTTCCAGCTAAAATGTTTGCTCACTGGCCTCAAGGTGGACAGCGTCTGTCTGGCTATTAGTGAACGACTCCTTGGCTGGAAAACAGAGTTGGTTTAATTGGTCAGCAGCATGGGGAAGCAGTCTGTCTCTCTCTCCTTGGGAACCCGGTGCTCACCACAAGGTCAAAATTCCCAGTCAGAAGCAATCTTGCTGCCACCTGTGACCCCAGCAGACAGGGCAGCCCATCCACTGGGCCTGCGGCTTGGAGACATGGTGAGGGGTGAGACCCCTTCCAAGGGGCTCCTCAGCTCCTCTTCCTTCCTCCCGCCCCTTCATACAGGTCCCATCTCAGGCTGCACATCACCCACCCCACAACTGTTCAGTCTACCCTCCACCTCTTGCCCTCACATTACATCACAGCCAGACATCAGTCTTCTCTGCCACACCGCCCCCTTCTAGAGACTTCTGCCACTACCCAGGACAATGCCATCAGCAGTGTCCATCCATCTCAGCCTTGTTCTGAGCAGGCAAGGAGGACATGGAGCCAAAAAAAATGGCAGTGTCTAGAGAAGCCACACTGTAAAGTAAAGCCATTCCGTCACACTCTGTTCCTAAGCAGAAGTGGAAAGAACAACTCTGGGAGAGCAGAGTCCAGGTGGGCTTCCCAGGGAGAGGCTAAACTCAGCCTGATGCAGAACCTTCCAGAACCTGGGCTCTGCCACGATGACCCCTCCGGCCGCAGCACCCACCGGCTGCAGTAGCGGCACAGGCTTTTGCCTCAGGACCCATGGAACACCTCATTTGTGAGGCTGGACAGCAGAGGCACTGGGCCTAGTTCCAGCTGGCACCATCAGGGTTGGTCTTACAGCCAGCGTTCAGGTGATTGCAGCTGCAGGCTCCAGAACGTGGAGTTTAGTGCCGGGGAATTGCCCAGGAGCCCCTAGGGACACATTGGGGCCTGTTTTCCAGCTGGTAGCATGAGGACATGACACAAGCTTCGATTAAGGAAAGGCACAAGGCACCAGAAGGCAGTGTGAGAGGCAAGACCATGGCCACGGTCCCTCGAGGATGCACAGTCTGGCTGGGGACCAGACAGAGAGAAAGTTCTGCTCTCATCATCTAAGAAACAAAGCATGGCCCCAACTCAATGGCTCCAAAGACAGAGGGAAGGAGGCTTCTGGCAGGATGAGGAGCTGCTACATAGAGGAGCCACACACAGCCCCTTCCAGAAGGAAGTGAACCAGGGGCCTGAGGGAGGGGATAGGGAAGGTGACCATTGCCCCCACCTCTTGGCCGCCCAGACTCCTCCTTTTATACCTTGGGACATTCTGAGTGGTGAGCTTTGCCCTGTACCCCAACTCCTGGGGACCATCATGTATCAGAGTAGAGCTGTGCCCCACAGGGTTGTCAGTGACGGATTTTCCCAAAGTCTGTCTCCAGGCCTGCCTTCCAAGGTGCCTCTCTGGGTGGATTCCAACCTCCAATTTCGTGGTTAGCAGCCAAGCATGTTCACCATGATACTACCCAGAGACTCCTACCCTACCCTGTGCCTATCACCCCCCAAAAAGCAAAACTGAACAGCCACAAACCTGCCTACAGGGGTCAGGGGCCAGGGACCAAGATGCAGCGTGCAGAGTACACCCATGTACTAGACATGTGGCATGGCACGCACCAGACACTCAAATCCGGGGATGGGAGGGTGGGAAGACAGGACAACGCCTTATGCTGCTGGGATCGTAGAAGTCAGATGCTTTCTGCCTGTGGGGTTCAGGGGTTCATGCTCCGAGCATGAATAAGGAACGCATGCAGAGCTGACTGGGGTTGAGTTCTGTGTCCTCGAGCAGGTGCACCCTGGGCAGTGGGGGTTGGGGGGTGGGAACCAAGAGCGAGCTGGTAATTAGAAGGAGCAGAGCTCTCAGCAGGAGGACAGAATGCGCCAGCGACAGTGACAAGAACAGCCACTTCCATGTCACCGCTGCGCAGGCCGAGAAAGAACTTTCCTGTCGACAGTGGAGAATGCTATTAATAGGATCATTTTCTTGGTGTTTTGTTTATTCCCCTGGAATGGCTTGATGGATGTGAATAATTATCAGACTATAAAAGCCAGCAAATGTGCTATTTTCTATCGCTCTAAATCATCAAACAAATAAAGTGTGAAACAGCATTTTTGAATATAATTTTCCCCTCTAATGGCTTAGAATTATTATCAAGAACAATGAAAATAAATAAGCAAATGCCTTGTGAGTTAAAAATTAAATGAGTGTGTCAGGAGGAGGGGCACACTGT